AGCAGGATCCATGAAGATCTGGTTATATCCCGAATAGGCATCCATGAAGCTGAGAAGCTCGTGCCCGGCGGTGGCGTCGACAAGCTGGTCGATTCTCGGTAGGGGGAAACTGTCCTTCGGACAGGCCTTGTTCAGGTCGGTATAGTCCTGACACATCCGCCATCCTTCAGTGGTCTTCCGAACCATGACTGAGTTCGCAAGCCAGACAGGGTACGTAGCTTCCCTGATAAAGCCGATGGCCTTGAGCTTGTCAACTTCGGCACGCCTTGCTTCGTTCCTCTCGACATCATATGAATGGCGCTTCTGCCTGACCGGTTTGTGGGCGGTGGAGATGCTGAGCTTGTGGCTAATAACGTCAGGTGATATGCCCGGCATGTCGTCGTAAGACCAGGCGAAGACCTCTGCCTGTTGCAGTAAGAAGTCGATGAACTGTCCTCGGAGGTCGGGATCTAGGCTGGTGCCGATTTTTACACACCGATCAGAAAAATCCTCATTTAGGACGACGGTATCCAGCTCTTCGGCAGGCTGCGTTACCGGCGTTGGAGTTTCCTCCCTGGGGTCGTCAATGGGTCCGCTACCGTTCGGTAGTCCTTGCACGGTCATGGCCTCCATTGGCATCTTACAAGCTACCGACTTAAGGGTTGTGGCATAGCACGTCCGTGCGCTGAGCTGGTCACCCCGGATGACCCCAGTACCGTTGCGCGTAGGGAATTTCATCAGGCGCCCTATGATGACGTTATACGCTGTTGGGGAGTCGACAATGAGGAATTGGTCGTAGGTCATTGTTTTCCTGGGGGCGACGCCGAAGGCGGTGGGAGGACTGATATTGGCGACTGGTCCCCAGAAAAACTGAGGAGGGGCGTTATTTGCTGATTGACCATGCTATCGGCAATTCCCAGTCCCTTGAACGCATCGGCAAAAATTACGTTCACCGAACTCCCGATGTCGATTAGCACCCGACCTACATCGTAGTCGGCGATCTCGGCCCGAATGATCATTGGATCATCGTGGGGGTAAATGATCCCTTCCTCTTCTTCTTCACTGAATGTGATGGGCTCCCACCCCACATTCGGGACCTTTCTGTACCGATCGTCCTCTATACCGAAGACCTGAGGGTAGTGAGCGGCACGCACATACTGTTTCATTGAACGGTTGGAGGGTCCCGCCAGAATGGGGCCTCCGCTGATGGTGCTGATCATGTTGATCTGCCGATTCGCGTTCGGTGTTGGGGCCTGTGGTGGCCTGGCGATGTAATGATCCAGCTTTCCTTCCCGAATCAGACGCTCAACGATCTTCCTCAGACTGATGCAGTCTTCGGTGTTGTGGCTGTTCTGCTGGTGGTATCGGCAGAATTTGCCCGTGTCCCGATTATCCTGCCGATTGGGCTTTCGGTTCGTTGGCTTCGGGATTTAGTCATGCTCGTTCATTAGAATGGTCTCATATGTTGTGTTCCGCAGGGCG